CCCCAAAACCCCAAAACCCCAAAACCCCACCTCTTTCCTACCAGATTGAATAATCGTTATAACAGTCATCTCGCATAAATAATTAAAAATTATCTAAAATGAGCGAATTTAAGAGACTATCATCACTTAGTAAGGATGGCTCTACCAAGAATGGTCTGAAATCTATCCTTAACGCTAGGGATATTAATATCCAGCCAACGATCCATCGTGGAATCAACAATGCCTCAAAGACTTATTTTAGTCGAGAAAAGAAGTCTATTACAGATGAAAAGGGTTTCCCTAGCCAAAACAACATTATCCTAGAGAAAAGAGTCACCAAAATGGCTGGGGCAAGGTCTTCATCCCGAACTTCCTCAGCTTTCAAAGTTAAAAGGCAAAGCCAAGCTATTGGCGCTTCAAAATGGCATAATTTGAAGTTTAAGAACCTTCTGGCTCCCACCAATGATCTGATAAATACCTTACTCTACAAGAACAAAGACGAGAGATACAGATACCTCATCAAAAACGCTAAGGTGCACTACATTGAGAAAGGAACAGAGTCCATCTATGTAGAGCTCCCTCAGATTCCAAACATACTAATCATTTACAGAAAGCCTGAAATCAGGCTAAAATCGAAGGACACTTTGAATCTCGATGATAGAGGTCTTAACCATGTTCCTCTTCTTGAAGGTGAGGAGAGATTGGTAAAATTGGTATTGAAGCGAAACAAGATTTCAAAAATAGAGAACTTAGTCTCCCTCCCATACCTAGAGACCCTAGATCTTGGTAATTTAGCATTTTAACGCGAAATATAGGCGGAAATATCATCAGAGAGCTTTCCAATCTGAATACCTGAGAGAGGCTTAAATCTCTCAGCATTAGGAACAACATACTTGATTCCATCCAAGGCTTGAGCTTGCTCAAGTCTCTTGAAATAATAGATCTATCATGCAACAAAATAAAGAAAATAGAAAAGCTTGAAAAATGTATAAATTTAGTCAAAATCAACTTGAGTTCCAATTACATTACCACTTTCGAAGGGCTGAACAACTTGTCATCACTGGAGGAGCTCGACCTCTCCAATAACAAGGTTACCACTGTAAAGGACACAAGAGGGCTAATCTCGATCAAATAAAATCAATCTTTCCAATAACCTAATAGATTCAGACCTTGATAAAATAAAGAATTTGGACAGGGTTCAAGACCTTAATATCGAGAATAATCCCATCAACAGAAAGTCTGAGTTCATGAGATATGTCAAAAGAGAGATGCCAAAGCTGATCATTCTCAACAACAAGAGGGTTCTAGGCCCTAGAGACTCCTACGGTAGGTTTAAGCTTCTTAACCTATAGATAAAGCAAAGGATGCTATTTACAAGCCAGAGCTGATCGAGTCCTCAAGAGGTGGCAAACAGAGTGCTAATAATGTAATCAAAATTATTCACAAAGAATGGCAAAGAGAAGTTGACAGACTAAAAAGAAATCATAAATCCTACGAAGAAGGAAAGGGGAAAGCTACCAATGAGAAATGCTTGGTTCAGTCTGGCCACGCAGAGATTGAAGCCAACAAAATGCTGTTTATTTATGGCAATGCAATGGAAGTCTTGAATAGAACCGAATTTTACACTGTGGTTGAGGAAATTCACCTTGAATGTGTTCGCTTCGATCATATTGTCCATTATACCCATCTCGATAAGATCAAACAATTTGTGAACCTCAAAAAGCTACGTCTTTCATTTAATAACTTGAACTCATTGATCTTGCTATCAAAGCTAGAATGCCTGCAAAGTCTCGAAAATCTGATGATAGAAAATAATGAGATTCTGAATAGTAGTATTACAAAAAGTTTTGTAGTTTACAGATTCCAACACTTAAAATGTTATAATTCCCGCAAGATCACCATTGAAGATAGAGAAGAGGCAAAGAAGAACTTCCATCTCTTTGATAATGTTCTCTCAAAATGTATCAGAAGGTATTTTCTCTACTCTAATCTATAGAGTTTCGCCTAGCTTTTCAGACCCAGCTACAAAGCTTGAATTCAAGCAAAGCCAAAGGAAACATGCTGAGATAGCTAAAGACTACACCGAAGCAATCCTTGCTAACGTAGTGGACATCCACTCGAGATCGGAAGAAGTTGAAGAAGAGTGAGAATATGCTCTGATTAACTCCATCTCAGAAGCCTTAGACCAAGACAATATCATCATATAATTGGCAATAATTCCAAATCCAGATATCACAGCTGGGGTTTTGGGGTTTTGGGGTTTTGGGGTTTTGGGG